AGTCTACTATATTGTTTACGGCTTTGAGCCTGATCTGAGGTTTAGTTTATGGAGTCTGAAATGGAAACGCGAATGGAAAATCACATGGAAACCTGGGGGTGCATAGGGCTGTATGAGTGTAGAGGGAATTTAGGGGTTCAGGGTTCAGGGGTTTGGGATGATTAGGTTCAAGGCTTCGGTGCCTAGAGGATGCAGCAACACTTGCAACAGGAAATACTAGGACCCAGGAGCTATACTAGCCCTGTCGAACAAACGCTTAAGGACTGTTCTGGAAAGGGAATAATCCAACGCTCTCTGGTGTAGAAATGAATACCAACCCTGAAGGACTTGAAGCTTACCCAAGAAAAGAGAATGCTACTCAAACTTTCGGGTATCGTCAAATTATAGGCTAAGCAAGTAAAGCACAACTACCTTTTTCACTGGGTCCTGTTTAGGCAGTGATTGGAGTAGGGGGCTGGGAAAGGCTGGCAAGACTGCGATCAGAAAAAGCTGCGACCCTCAAACTGAAGCAATATCTCTACAGGTTCCTAAACAACGTTACCCTAGCAGTCTAGGGTCATTGTCTCTAACATGTGACACCCGCAGGAGCACAGGAAAGCATGAATTAGACCTTAAGCAAGGCTCCCTATTTCTCAAGATCACTTATGTTAGAAGTGTTCCGGTCGTTCGCATGCAGATTTCATTTTAAAGAAAGAATTGCGTCACGTTACCCAAACCCCTGTAGACTAGCTCTGCTACAGACCTATATCTGTGTCAGACTCAAAACCACGGAGCCGAGAAAGTCTGTGAAAAAACCTGGATACAGCCCTCTTGTTCTGAAAGCAACAAGTCCCCAACAAGCAAAGGCTTCCTTCGTTAGAGCTCAACACCCTGCACAAACATTGAGCTATGGGTCAGTTTACAAGAAGCAGGCTAGAATCACCCTGCAACGCAGGATATGAGCTCCCAAATTTTGGACCGCCCGCATCCGCCAGCCAAAAAAAAAAAGGATCCAAGCTCCCCAAAACAGACAAAAGCGCTACCGTTGCTATGCACCTATGCCCATCACTCGAAACCTTACCCTTAAAGAACCCACTCCTTGCTGGGTTGCTGCTAAGGAACTTATCATGGGTACATATGGTGAGTAATAGGGTCTCCCCAATACAGAAGCTTAAATTGAGTTCCTCAACAGCAACCCAGCTTGTCATCAGCCTGCGGGGTGGTACTTCGCATCTGTGGACAAGAAGTTGGCAACATAGGCAAAATATCCAAACCTGTGAGGGGCAACATGAATTACATGACGGTTTAGGGTTTAGGGTTGTAGGGTTCAGGGTTTAGGGAGGGGTTCCTCATGATGCCCCCTACTACGGAACTCAAGTACTGTTATCCTCATTATGCCCGGATTCTGTAGCGGGCATGGGAAACTCGAGTTGCTTGCTGTGGATTGGCTCGGATAGGATTTGTATGCGCCAATCGGCTTGTACGCGGTTATATGGAGTTCTATGGGTGGGTGGAGGACCAGAAACCAAAAGGGGATTTAGAAAAACAAATAGCCTGTATCAAAAAAACACCTAGGGGTCAACAAGAACAAATGGTTTCTGTCATGGCCGAGAACACAGCATTGCAAGGATCAAAAAGCAAAAAAATCAGTGATTTAATGGCAGAAAAACCTATCCTTGCAGCTTTTGGACCGTTCAAGAAATTGCAAATGATGGTATTCGCAGGTCTTGAAGGGACTGAAAGGCTGCAAAATACAGCAGTTGCAGCACCCGGAGCACCGGAAATGCTGCAGTTTACAGCACTTGCAAGTTCTCGAATGCTGGAGTGACTGTACTTTGCAACGTGCTACGGTGGCTTTCACGGTGGCTTTCATGCTAGAAGGCTTAACGTCGGAAATACAGCATTTGGAGCCCTTGGAATGCTGTGAGTTTTGCGAGGGACAGGTACAGCACTTGGAGTCCTGAAAGGCTGCCAACGTTTTGGTCAGGCAGCAAACTCGATAAACGAAGCATCTGGAAATATCGATAGGCTGCAAACACATGAGATCACTTAGAAATTTTGACGCAGAAAATGCAGATGACAACATTTCGGGCTCATCAAATGCTGCGAATACTGTGCAAAATAGCGGGAGGGTTTGGGGGGGCTCGGCTCAGCCCCCCCACTAGCAGCGCGCATGCATTTTTACAAAATGCAGGGGGGTTGGGGATTTGCACCCCCCCTTTTTGCAGAACATGGACGAAGCTCAGAGCATGCAGCTTAAGCAAGCACATCTTTGATGGAATGTTTTAGCATTGTGGCTGCATTACGCGAGGGCACGCTGCGGCCTTGACAGTTCAGGACTTTGCTTGCAAATTTTGAGGTTCTGAAATATCACCCTACTACCCTACTCCAAGATTTAGACTGAGGAAGAGCCTCAACTTTTTGGCGAAGACCCAGACCCAGGATGTTCGAGCATTCAGATTTTGTAGCTTCCCAAAAAAGAGGGATCCCAGTATAGATCCCAAACGCTAAAATCCTAATTATTGGAACCCCCGAAAGGTACCCCTCATTTTGAGAAAGCCCTGAACCCTGTACATCCCTGTATAGCCCCGGCCCTATAAATCTCCTTTAAAGATTAGGGGAACTCTCTATGAACCCATTTCTTGATGGACACGCGCGTTTTTCAGGTTGCATGTCAAATTGGGGGAGCGCGGGGTTTTGAGGGGTTTATAAGGTCAATAGGGTTTATAGACTTAGAGTTTGGGGTTTAGGGCTTTAGGGTTTTCAGGTGCCGGGTTGTCCTTGCACGCCTCTGATGTGGAGGGCTTGGGCCCAAAGGAAGGATTCTA